GCAAAACGAGTGCCTGCCGAGAGAGAAACGAATCAGTCAGAGTCCAGGAGATTAGGAGCAGGCTGCTTACCCTCCACCAGAAATGAGAGACGCTGCTGCTTGATTAGCTCCACAATTTGTGGTGATATTTTCTCTTTAAGCTTCACAATGGCCGAGGCCGTCGAATCGCATTCCTCCTTTGAGGTGCGCTCCTGTTGGCGCAACGTCGTGATCTGCTGATATGTAAGCAATGCAATCTTGCTGCGAAAGTCCTCCAGGTTTTCCGGACGCAGTTTCAGAGTGCGCTGTATTTGCTCGCGCACCACACTGCACACCTTCTGAAAGTCTTCGGCAGTTGCGCGCATATCCTTCCAGGTGCGATTCAGCGTGATGACACAAATGCAAAAGAACTCCTCGAAGGGCTGATCGTGCGTGAAGAACATGGGCTGAAAGTCGCCCGATTGCTCGGCGGGTGGCTCGCCTATGCGCAAAATAAGGCACAACACCTTCACCAGCTCAATTGAGGTGCGGCCAAAAGGGCACTCGTGCTCATCCGCACGGCAGGAGTTCTCGTGCACAATCTTCGTGTACTGCTGAGTGTAGTTGCGCGCAAAGTAGACCATGCAGTCCAGCGCCAGAATGCCTGAAAGGATATAGGTAAAATTAGAGGCTAGTTAATATGAAGCTGAGCTTCTAGTTACCCGGTGGCGTCTCAATAAAGTCCTGTGCCGGATTGATGTCGCATTTAAAGCCCAGTTTCTTATAGTACTGCGAAAAGTTGACATTGCCAGCGCCGGAGCCACCGCCGCTGCCCCCGCGACGTATGTGCTCATCGTTGAGACTGAGCGTGCCAGCATAATCATCGAAGGCAATGCGACGCAGCTCCTTGATCTTCTCGTGCGCATCCTGATCCTGGGCATTCATTTTCATGCGCATGCGTTTCTCGAGCAAGCCCAGCGTCAGGGTCTGCAGCACGTACAGCTGGTGGGTCATCTCGGTGCTCAGCCCGTTGCCAATTAGGGCCAGGCGGTATTGCTTGGCGCTTATCGTATGGGCAATAGCGCGCTTGCGCGGCTCCTCGGCCTTCATGAAGAGTGCATTGAGCAGCGCAATGGCATTCTGTCGCATCACCGGCGAGTTGACCTCCTGCAGCAGACGCAGAATATCCTGCAGTTTAATTTCCTCTGCCACCAGAACATATTTGCTGCTGCTCTGCACAATATTCTCGAGATTCGAGAGCGCACTCTCGCCGCACTTGGCGGGATACTTTTGGAAATTGCGCACAATTTCAATGTTGCGTGCCACAAAGCTGCTCTCTGGTACCTCCCAGGACACGGTTCCGTGCTCCATTAACTCGACAAAGCTAGCCAGGCTATACTTAAGTATTTCTTCGTCCTTTTGATTGACATCCTCGATCATTTTGATGAGTATGTCCAGGCCCTTCTCCTTGATAAACTCCAGCGCAAAAGTGTGATCCATGCTAAGCGATGTCAGCTCCTTAAGACGTTGTGCCTTCTCCTGCGCGGTGCCATTTATCAGTGTTTCAAGCGCATCGCTGGCCGTCTTTGAGGGTGAATACTGTAGACGCAGCACCGAGCCGTTTTTAATCTCATTGCGATTCTTTTCGGTCACATATTTCATATTGTTTGTTTCGCAGAACTGCAAGGCATAGTTCTGATGATCACTAATGGACCAGATGTTGCAGATTTCCTGGATTTTACCTGCGAGTCGAAAGATTATTATTATTGGCACATATTTATATATTTATCTTCGTATTTAAAAAGTTCACGTTTCCCAGTATGGGGAACAGTCAGGGTGAAGAAAATTAAAAAATAAAAGAAAAGTTGGATCCGAGGCCATCCTCGACAATTCATGATAAATTTCCACCAACATTTCCTGTCGCTTTCGTGCATTTTAATGAGGGCAGCTTATGCTGACATCACAAAGTCGGAAGCAAAGGGCGTTGGCGCTGGATTTAGCTGCAGCCTAACAAACTCTTCCAAATTAACACAAAAACACATTTAAATTGTCTGCTGCCCTAACATTCAATATTTGCATGACTCGCGAATAACATAAATTATTGTTTTTAACGCTGGCCAACTATTATTTATACACATACTTGCAAGCGGATGTCTTTGATCAAGGTTTATTAACTGCGCCATATGATTCTCGCGCTCAACGGCTATTTTAACTATATGCGCATCTTTTACCGGCATCTTTTTCGGTATCATTTTGATCAGAGCAGCTTATAATAGCTGTTTTAACAAAACTTATTGTTGGTTTTGCAGCAGTCCGAGGTTTTGTGATTAATTGGTTATTATGGATATCTTTCTTATCGATAATTCGATAGCGCACAGAGGTAGACGCGATAGTTTTGAGCCAGGGCTGCATAGCACCTTGCATTATCGTTTCAATTTCTGCTACCTACGCGCAATTTGTTTCAATTCAAATTTATAAACAGCTACTTTATTCTTGAAATTAAATAATGCACAAGATGTACTTATAATGACGTCAGCAACTTGAGCAGTTCACCCACAACGCAGACATTAATACTATTGCCCAGTAGTCGATACCTTTGACGATTAGTTGTTTCGGCGGGAAATTCAAAATCTTCGGGAAAACTCATAAGCCGCGCCACTTCTCTGGGCGTAAAATAGCGTAATTTTACTTCTCTTAAAAGTTCAAGACGCCTGTGTTGCGCTGCTTCACAGTTTGTGCTGTTAGGATCCATGTCAATTTCTTTAACTGCCTCGAATATGCTATGGGACTCCGCTTCAGAAAGCGGAGTAAACGCCGAACCGGTGCCTTCTGTGTAGTGGGTATATCCTTTTGTAAAGCACATAGACCTGCTCTGTGATGGGTGAATGATGTCCATGACAAGAACCCGCTTGGTTAGCACGTCATCCGGCACGAGTGTTTCAGCAGGCACATTAGGCTCTACAATAGTGGATATTTTGCACGTAGACTGCTGAGTCGGATCAGCTTTTGCGCCTGGCATATGCTCCCAGATTTTTCCCGCTTCAAATCCGAAATCTTTGCTCTTGCGCGCAATGCAATAGTACCGATGCCGAGTATTGGGCACATTAAACTGTGTGGGAGTTAGAATAAACTCACGCCAGTGGTAGCCAGCTTTTTCTAGAGCTTCAATAAATTGTTTGCGCGCCTGAGACCCCTCAAATCCCTTGACATTCTCCATCAGCACATATTCAAGTGTTTCGCATTGTGGTATCAGAGAGCAGAGGTGGGACAGGGCACAGGAGCGCTTGTCATCGACGTCTCGCTGCAGACCTTGGCGCGTATGCGGTTGACATGGTGGCGACATAAGCAGCATATTGGCACCCAGTTTGGTCACCTCCTTCTCACTTAAGCTCTGGATATTCCTGGTCTTCACTTTTGTACTACCGTAATTATGTGCATAAACTGCATTGGCCACAGTATTTACATCCAAGGCGGCAACCACTTCGCCGGGCAGCTGCGCATCTGCAAGCTTATTGATAGCAGTCGCTTAAAGGTTTTAAATCAATTACTAACTTACATTTAAAAGCATAGTGCATGCCGCCAATGCCGCTAAATAATTCCAATACACGAAATTCCATTATTTCACGTTTGTTTATGCTTTAACAGCACGCTGTAAAAAACAGTCTGCCATTCACGCACCGCACCTGTGTGAATGGCAAATCTGTTAAGAAGCAGAACGTCAACACGTGCCGCTCGGCTATAGTTTCGTATATTTCTAATTTATTAACTAGAAGAATATGGGTAAAATAAGAAGAAAGCCACAGCCACCACCCGTGGAGCAGGATTCAGATAGCGACTCCAGCTTTGCAGACGAGGAACTGAATGAAGCCGAGAAGCCTGCTCAGGAACCAGTCACTGACAGCAGCGACGATAGCGACAAGGAAATGGACGAAAAGCCAGAAAAGAAGGGGCTGAAGAAGCCAGAAGCTGAAGCCGGCTCTGCCGAAGAATGTGATGATAATGATGATGAGGAAGACGATGACGATGATGACGAAGATGAAGATGATAAAAAGGCGCGCCTGCCAGTGCTGAATCCTCTGAGCTTAATGAAAAACAAAGAACAGCGCATGGCGCTCTATCGTAAAATGAAAAAGGAAAAGCACAAGAAAAAGATGAAGGAGCGACGCGCACGTCGCAAGGCGGGCGTGCCAGCCAATCCGGGACACACCATAGAAAGCCTGCGCGAGAAGGATCAAACCGAGGTGAGCAATCTCAATGATTCCGATAATGAGGAGCTACGCAAGGAGCTGGAGATCGATGATTTCAGTACGTATTTCGAACGTATATACGAGCCAAAGGTGCTCATCACTTTCGCCGATAACCCGGTGACGAAAACTCGCAAATTTGGCTTGGAGCTGTCGCGCATATTTCCCAATGCGCTTGTCAAGATACGCAACAAGGCATCGGTGAAGAAAATCTGCAAAAGCGCCGAGCGGGAACAGTTCACAGACGTGGTCATTGTTAATGAAGATCGCCGTAAGCCCAACGGCTTGCTGGTCATACACTTGCCCAACGGACCGACGGCGCATTTTAAGCTGTCCAATGTAAAGCTGACTTCGGACATAAAGCGCAACCACAAGGAGATAACCAAGCACCGGCCGGAGGTTATACTAACCAATTTTACAACTCGTCTGGGTCTAACAGTGGGTCGCATGCTGGGCGCTCTGTTCCATCATGACCCGGAATTCCGTGGCCGACGCGCCGTCACCTTTCACAATCAGCGCGATTATATATTCTTTCGGCACCATCGTTACGAGTTCTCCAAGGAGGGCAAACGCGTCAAGCTGCGCGAGTTGGGGCCACGCTTTACGCTCAAGTTGCGCTCCCTGCAGGAGGGCACCTTCGACAGCAAAACGGGCGACTACGCATGGATCATAAGCAACAAGCGGCATGCCATGGAGTCCAGGCGTCGCTTCTTCCTATAGTTTAAGACTTTTGCTTTCGATTTGAAATATGTTAATATTTTGTGTTACGTAGAGAACATAAATAAACGATAAGGGAAATATAAAACAAATTCTCCTCATGTATAACCACCAAAGACTAATCATCACATGATGTTTAAAATTACAATTAATTGATGTCCCTATGCCTAAATGTGCAACATTCAACAGATAGTGGCGCACTCGACCATTGGCACTCCACCAGGAACGACACAGCCCCAAAAGCCGCAAATTACATGGTTGGGCATTGAGGATTTGGAATACCACCAGCTGCTGTGGGATCCCCAAACGGCAGATCTCCGCCCGTCTCGGCCAGTATTTCTGCTGGCGGTTGTCCATAATCCTGCAGCTTACGCATATCATCCAGCACCACGCGGAACTTCTCACGTTTTACGGTGGCCGTATCATCGGGCTTTTCGCTCTGCAAATGACCCTCAATAATCTTGTAGAGCTCAAACTGTTTTTGGTACCTGCAAAAAACAGAAGTCGAGAGTAAATAAGCTGTAAATGTGATAAAAGATAAACACAATAAAAATAGATGGTAAATGTACAGTGAATGCTCTACTAACGGACAGTTCCTTTGAAGGGAAACCTTTTTAGTTCTATTCCTTTTTCTTACATATGCAAACAAATTTTAACTCTATTGGATGGACGCCAATCATCCAATCGTCATTCGCAGTTCCCTTTATAGAACTTTCACCGTATATGTAATTTTATGTAAACATTTGTGAGTCACTGTCGTTCAGCAACAGGGCGTGGTCGGCATTAACTTTATTGTAATATACCTCTCCTTATCTTCAGCTGAAAGCTTTGAGTCATTCTCCTCGAGATATTTTGGATACTTCTCGAGCAGCTCCTTGATGCTAGGCAGTAGAATCTCGGCGGAGAGCAGGCTCTGCATCATGCCCTCCATAAAAGGCAGGAAATTATTGCCATCACCATCGGCACCCTAGAATTCGTGAGACAATTTTTATTATTAATCCGTAGATAGATATTTGCACAGCGCTTACCTCCAAATTCATGGAACCAAACATGCTGGCTATGTCGTTCTCCGATGCAGGTGCTGCCAGATTTTCGGTGCCCTCTTGCAGGCCCTATACAAAGAAATACAAATTAATAAATGTCCATACATTTTGGGGAGCTACGCACTTTCAAGGCTTGGGAAATGCTATCTGAATACTTGGACACCTCGTCGTCGTTGGCAGTGTTCTCACCACTCAGTGTCAGGGCGGCCGCTTCGGCCATTTTCTTGAAACCGGCCATTATCTGATCCGGATCCTGCGGCATTGGTGGTATGTCGCCACTCGGCGTGTCTGGCCCACCGAACAGTGTGTTCATGCGATCCGCTAAGATTTTCGCTTGCTCACTGCAATTCCAAAGTTCAAGTGATTCGAATGACAAGCAACAATATTTTCTGCTTACATGAAAAATGCATCGGGATCGTCGCCGCCCTCGCCGGCTGCAACTGCTGTGCCATCGGTAGCCACGGGCTTTTCCGGCTTGGCCCCACTCTTGCTTTTGTCAAAGTCCTGCAGTGCATCTGCGAAGTGTAATGGATGTTTGTTATATAAGTTGTAAGGCCGTCTGCTTCTGCGTTTCTTTTTGACACCCACTGTCGAGCAGCTCGTTCAGGTCATCACCATCTCCGTTTTGCTTTTGATCGGACATTATGTTTAATTTATGTGAAGTAAATGATTTAATAACTGGAAAAAACTATGTAACACTTCTTGTGTTGACTTGACACAAGGTGGGCGCATGTGTGTGTGCGAGTGTGTAAAGTAACGTGTGGGGGCCCACATTATTAGCTTATTGCAACCGATGCCTGTCAATGTTATCGATGGTATGACAGACTCTTACCGAAAAGCATGAAGCTGTTTGCTGCTGGTAATTCATAATTCTTGCCATAATGACCCCAAACCAGAATTATCTAGAAGAATTTGTTATCATATTAATAAAAATATATATGGGGAGAAATGTAGAAAATAAATAATTTAAATTCATATCTATGGGTCAAATTAGCGGTGGTCATTTTACTGGCGTGAGTGCAGCAGAAATATCGATAATTAAGCAGAAAGCGTATGAATCGATTGCTAATCTCTAATTTGCCATACAGTCATAACATAAATAACTAAAGAAGAGGAAGAGCACATGTAAAAAACAATAATACTTTAAAAATCTTCAAAGTAATATAATCAATATAAAATGGGTTGCGATGGTGGCACCATACCCAGACGGGATGAGCTTGTGCGCGTCAAACAAAAGCCAGAGCAGGTTAGTCAATTAGATGAATCAAGGTGTTCGTTTTTCTCATGATCTAAAATTCCCGCAGAAAGACAAAGACGCAGAGCGAGAATTTCGATGGCTGCACTGTGCGCTGACCCAGCAGCGTTTGCAGGAACCAATTGCGATGTGTACAATGGGACGCCTGTATTCCAAGCAGAGCGTCATCGAGCGTTTGCTAGAGAAGCTGGAAATGCCCGAGACCTCGGCGCATGTGCGCAGCCTTAAGGACATCAAGACGCTGCAACTAACTCCAAATCCAGCATTCACGGATGAGGACAAGAGCGAGGGTCTGCTGGACACACGCCATGCGCCTTACATCTGCAAACTAATTGGCCTGGAAATGTCGGGAAAGTTCCGCTTTGTTGCGCTGTGGACCTGCGGCTGTGTCATGTCGGAGCGCGCCCTGAAACAGATCAAAGGCAGCATGGCCAGTGTGTGCCCACTTTGCCAGGTACCATACAGCGTGGAGGACGTCATTGTGCTTAATGGTAATGATGAGGATTTGGAGCTAATGAAAGTTAAGTGTGAAATGCGTGCTGCTAAGCGCAAGTCCGCTAAGAAGGACAAAAAGGATGCAAAGAAAACGGAAGCCTGTGTAAAATCAGAAACCACAGATGCAGCTGCTTCTACTTCCAGTAAGACAGACAAGCCCTCTACCAGCAATGGCAATGCCAACAAACTGAAAATTGTAGCCAATCCCAAGCGCCTGGGCGCGGTTAATGCAATGCAAGATCCAGAATTAAAGCGCCTTAAAACAGATTTTAGCGTAGCCAAAGACCCGAAGGCTAGCGATGTATACAAATCTCTGTTTACCAGTCACAAAACCGACAAGGAACAGGAGCGCGCTCACTGGATCACCTACAATCCGTTCTACAATTAGTCCCCCGTCTCCCCCAAATAGTTGTAAACTCTAAACTTTACAAAAAACAATTTAGTTTGCTTTACGTTTTCAATCATTGTATCCATTTGGTTGTACTGAGACAATTCAGTAGCTGCCGTTTCATTTTACAAATAGTAACTGATATAAATTACACAAAATATTTCAATATGTATCGCGCGTCATATCAAAAGGGATTCCTGACGATACTATACAGTGTGGGCAGCTCTCCACTGGACAAATGGTCCACATATGTAAGTCAATTAAAAACCTTTTCAATGGCGAGCAGCTATAAATTCCAATGCACTCTTACAGACTAAAAATGGTTATATTAAACGTATTTATGATGAAGACATTAAATCTTTGGTGCTGGAAATAATGGGGTCTAATGTGTCAACCACATTTATACATTGTCCAAGTGATTGCAAGGCCGAGCTGGGCATTAAGTTGCCATTTTTGGTGCTGCTCATTAAAAATATGCACAAATATTTTTGCTTTGAAGTTAAGGTGAGCTTTTTTCACATATATATATTGGGGCTTACACTAGGTTTGGTCGACTGTTTACAGATTCAGGACGATCAGCGTTTTATGCGACGCTTCCGCGTGTCCAATTTCCAGAGTAAGACATCGGTGAAGCCATTCTGTACGGCCATGCCCATGGGCATGTCCCCAGGCTGGAATCAAATACAATTCAATTTGGCCGATTTTACACGTCGCGCCTATGGCTCGAACTATTTGGAGACCGTTTCCCTGCAGGTGCATGCCAACGTGCGCATCAGACGCGTTTATTTCACTGACAAACTTTACACGGAAGCTGAACTACCCAATGATTATAAGCTGCTGGGCAAACCCAAGGATTTGAAGAAGGAGAAACAATTTAAAGCTCCGCCAACAGCGCGTCCACCGTCGCCACTAAACACGGGACGGGTCGAGTCCAAGACCAAAATCGAAGAAGCGGCTGTGCCCCAAGAGACGGAGACCGAGATGGATATGGGTGCACCGGAGGTAAAAATAGCGACAGCTCCTGATGTTTCTGAAACTGAAGCAGCTCCTGTCGTGTCTGAGGAGCCGCCTGCACAAACCGAGCCCACTGAGGACGCGTATTATTATTAAGATTATTTTAATGTTTATGTTAAATGTTCAACTTAGTTTTATTTGTGCACGCAATTGGACAGAGGCATGGCCGAGTAACAGCTAAATTAGTTAGTCGTAGATATATATAATAGTTCATTTAATGCAAGACTCGACTCAACAATATCCTTGTTTTTGTTTATTCACGTTCCAAAAGGTTGACTTTCCCTTCTGGTGGCTGCATAAAGCCTATTGATTACGAAATCTTTTGATTTACTTTACTTTATTTTGTGTTATTTTTTGATGTATACTTAAAATTTACTATTAAGGGTGTGGCACATTCCATAAAAGTTGTGGGCGTGGCAGAGTAACAACTAAAGTACAATACGTAGACATAATAGTTTATTTATTGCAAGACTCGACTCAAAACAAATTTGGTTTTTTTTTTGTTAAAATACGTCGTCTAAATTTTGCTAATAGATAACCTTACAAAACTCACGCCTATTGGCAATCTGTTTCCGTTTGCGTCTCTTTGGGCGCAGCTAGGACGCGCTTGCTTCGTTGGCGATGCTCATCATGTCCGCATCGATGTTCTTGAGAGCATTGTGATATTCTGTTATCTCCAGTGCCTCCCATTCGGCCTTGAATGCCGCCTTGGGGTCCTGGGGCATTGTCATGGCTGCGCCGGTCATTGCATCGGCCTGGGCTTGTGTCTGATCCGCATGGTTATTCTCACCCAGCACCAGGGTGTAAATGGAGCGCAGGCCAAAGACGTTCAGGAAATACCATGAAGCCGACGACACCCAGGCGGCATCCAGTGATGCCAGCTCCACGCCGCGCTGCAGCATGGGCTTGAAACGCAGTGTAAGGGGAAAGGGAACTTTGGTGGTCACAAATCCAGAGAACATCCAGTTGATCCAGCCACCAATAACGACCATGGGCAGCACATTAATAAAGTTGCCTTTGACCATGTCTGTCAGCATGGCTGAGGAATTTTGCGCAACCGGCGCTCGTTTTTGTGTCTTAAAGTAGCCCGTTTCCTCGTTGTTGAAGAAGTTCTTCCTCATGGAGAACGACTGGGCACTTAGATATTTACCATTCTCGCGCAGCAGCCGAGCGCGGATCATAGCTTGACTGTGACAACGACGAACACAAACACACATATTTATATATTGAATAAACAATATCAGTAGTGAACCTTGCTCACCTGTCCATGATTTGGGTCATCTCGGCCTTTTTCTGTGTGGATATCAGAATGGACACGTAATGTCGCACAATACCAACTAAAAATGTGATGAGCACGATGGGCAAAAACACCCAAACGCGTATATCCGGATCTATTAACAGCTCCGTCATATTTAATTAATAAATCAATTTAATATTTAACAATTTTTTCAGCACCCGTAGAAGACAACTCGGTGCTAGAGATGGATGTTTATCGATATTTTAATTAAGTAACAATGACCGACAGTTATCGATGCACGGAGTCTCCCCAATGTATATTTTTTACTCGGAGCGGCAACCCAAAATGTAATTGGAAAGCATCCTTTGAATCAAAAAATTAATTTTTTGTAGGTTGACAATGAAACTTTGACCTAATTTTCAAAGCAGCTCGTTACCAGTTCGATTAGTGGGCTATCGCGAATAGTCTTAAGCAATTGGTTATCTATGGTAGCTACATATGTATTTTCTAGTTAACATTACAAATTATGTATCAATAAAATTATACTAGAAATAAAGGACTTATAGTTATATGCGTTTAAACTCAATTAAACGATTACATTTTGCCAGGAAGATGCTTGTTGGTTATTGTTAAGTCTTTGCCATCATACACAATGTTTTCATAAAAGAACTTTCTATTGACGCGACATTGCGGACCACATCTGGTTGAGCCACAACTGCGGCACTCGTACCAACATCCATCACATTCTTCGTTCATGCAATCACAAACGTCTAATCCATTGGACCTAATGTTTCCGTACTCATCGTAGGCGCTGCTTTTTCCATAATAGCAGCCTTTCTTCTTTCCTCTGCGCTTTGTCTTCTCGGCTTCTGTACTACTATTATCGTCAATGGTTTCTTTTGGACGTTGTGGACGCTGACGCAAACTTCGAGCACTCATTGCAAATCCTTTTAATTAAACAGTAAAAGTTGCAAAGTAGATCTATTCTTGTGGAACTGGGTAAACAAATTCTATATTATAATTTTTATCGGTAATTGGAAATGTATCGCTAGTCCCCTATCGGTTTGTTATCGGCAGACCATATTGCTTGAATTCTGATTGACAGCGTGCAGTGTGACCATCTGAATATAGATTATTGGTTCCACATATAACCAAATCAAATATTCACCTCCTGTGACGCCAGTAAAATTGTTTGATTTATTAAAGTATAAAAGCAATTGTAGCAATGGAGGCCAAAGACGATTCGCCAGCGACATCAACGAATCCGCCTTCAACTACAGAAGCAGCCAAGGATACGGCCAGTGCCGTTGTCGCTGCCACTGCCAGCAACAACACACAAGCTCCAGCAAATTCGGCGGCAACTGCAACAACAGCAGCCCCGGCACCAGCAACAAGCAATAATTCCAGCTCCAGCGCAGGAGCAGCTGCAGTAACAGCAGCAGCAACAGCATCAACCACGTCAGCAAGCACCGCTCAGCAGCCGCCACCGGCCAAAAAGCCAAGTGCTCCGCCAACGCCGCGTGCCGATCCCAGCGCGCTGCCAACGCGCCAATATCTTGATCAGACCGTGGCCCCCGTTTTGCTGCACGGCTTGCAGGCATTGGCACGTGAACGGCCGACAGATCCCATACAATTTCTGGCCTCGTACTTACTAAAGCACAGCAATGGCTGCGAGGAGCCAGTCGCCAACGAGGCCAGTACTTAGGTGTAGTTTCTCGTTTCTGTTCCCTATATCCCTAGCCCTAGCTATGTAAGTGAAAGTCCCCAATAAATGTTTAAAATTACATAAAACTATAATAATAAATCGCTGTTGCGCACCGTTCACTTAAATAATAAGATAGCAATTTGCATTTAGGCAGTGATGGGATAACCCCAAGGATCCAGTTTACAATTGAGCAGCTGCAACGAGGTGTCGGCAATCTTGGCCAGCAGCTCGGCCAGCTTGTGCTTGGTGTACACCTTATACAGCTGACGACGCTCATCGGCAATCTCGTCCGCCAACCGAATACAGCCCGGATGATCGCGCGATTTTGCCATAACCTCATGCAGAAGCAGCACAATCTCTGGCAGGCAAATCGAACGCAACTTTTCCATTTGCAGCAGACGATTCTCCCAGTGCAACAATGCCGCATTCTCCGGCTCCTTGGCAATGAAGGGATCATTGAGCCAGCCCTTCTCTGGAAACAGCAGCACGTTAAACAGTGCATCCGTGGTCACTGGCAAGGGGAAGCGGAGGTAAACAGACGATTAGACAAAATGAAAGTAGGTTTTGATTTCGGTCTTACTTTTAGACTGTTCCTTGACCTTCTGCTCCCAGCGGGCAAGTTCACTGAGATAGGTCTGCTCCTTGTGCTGCGCATTCATGCGTTCAGTGAAATTGTCCTGCGCCTGGCCGGAATTCTGCGTGCCCTTTTGAGGTGGTTGAGGGCGCGCTTGCTGCAGACGGGTCCAGTCATTGAAGCTGTCCACGCCAGCCAAATAGACCTTGTAGCACAGATACTCCTTAAGGCTGCACTCTTCGCGTGGCCCCAGGTTATCGAGAGCACCATAAATATTGATCAGCTGACTAGTCACATCGCCGGGCACCATGGCAAACACCTGACGCACACACTCAATTTTATTGCTGGCCAAATAGTGACGCATCATGGCATTGGCCTGCCAGAGCAGCTCGCCGCGCTGCTCAACCAAATGAATCAGATACTCGAGTGACTGAATCTTGCGCTTGTCGGCTGCAGATATCGAACCGGTGGGGGGCTCGCCTTGTATGCCGGGTGGCGTGCTGCCCAGACGAATGCTCTCTACAGTATGCCGTGTTATTTGCTCCACATCGAGGCCTGCCTGCAGGGCCGCATCCAGTGCTTGTTGACGCAGTCGTTTCTCATCAATTTGTGTCAGAAACTTGGCATAGAGCTGCACCTGCAGCTTGTTGGGCAAGCCCGCCGCATAGTAGGCAATGGGCTGTGGGTCTCCACGCTGGATCAGTGACTCCACATAGGCAGCGATAATGCGTTCCGCCTGCTGCTGCTGCGGCTGCTGTTCGACTCGTCCAATCTGGCGCATGAATAGCACAATGTGTGCCATGAAGCGCAGCTGATGCGGCGGCAGTTGTGCCTCCTTGGGCACGGCGTCCAGCCAGCGGCACATATGTTGCAACAGCTCGCCGCACGTATCGAGTATGATGTGCTGCTGGATGACGCCTAGTTGGCACTGGGCATAGTCGCGCACAGACACGTCCTTGGCCACGCTCAGCTCATCAAAGATCTGCTCCAGTGTCATTTTGCCATTCCAATACTCATCCGGCATGGGCTGATAGCGTTTCATGCAGCATCCCCTAATCTCGCTCTCGACGCGTATGTCTATTTGCACCTTGATATACGCCCACAATAGATCGTGCCAGCTGCTGTGCAGCAGCGATTTCAGTGCTCCCAAGTGGCCACAGAACACGGCCGCTGTGGCGCGTGTGTACTCATCATATTTCTTGGAATCGGCTAGTAGCCAGGCACAACGCTTCCAAATGTCGCGACGGGGATTGCCTTCGATGGGCAGCTTCTCGTGCGATTGTCCGGCCACGTGCTGCTCAAAATTGGGATCCTCGTGCAGACGCCAGCCCTCCAGGATGGCCGCCCGCCAGGTTTGGCCAAAGTGCTTGCACAGCTTCAGCGCCTCATCGATGTGTCCGTTGCGTATGGCAGCGAAAATGGCGCGACCCAAACGCAGATTGTCCTCCATGTCAAGGGCGTGAAGCGGTTTACCCTCACGCACCGGCGCGTCCGGATCTAGTTGCTTGCATATCTCATGGCCGCGTCCAAAGGCGGCACCCTGCAGATTCTCTAGCTGAAAGAGCGTATTTTCCCAGGCCATCATGCGATCGTGACTCTGCAATGCATTCGCCTGATCCTTCTGCTCGTAGCACTTCTCCAGCCAGTCAACCACCAGCTGATATTCACGCAGCTGCGCATTTATGGAATACAGCTGCTGGATAACCTGTTAAAAGCACATTTCAATTAAATACAAGAACTCGAATGGCGGTTTTTATACGCACCTCTTTTTCACTGCCTCCCAGCATGGGTCCGTCCTGCATTTCATCATCAGCCTGCGTATCGGTCTGCAGCAGCAGTCGATCGTAGTAAAGTGCGTGGAGCAGGCGCCAGGTGTTGATTTCCTGCTTTAACCACTTGACGCTAGACTCGCGCTGCTTGGTGCCATGGTTGCCGCCCACGCCACGCTCGATATCCAGCTCCAGCTGCTCAACAACCTGTTGACAAGCTTGCGCCAGCAGCTGCACCACATCCAGCGTGTCGTTGGTATTGTTGTGCGCGTGAAGCACTTCGTAGAAGTGGGCAAAGAGTATGTCCGTTTTGCCGCGTCCCTGATCCGCTTCATCGATGTCGTCCGCTAAAAGTGTGCTGTCGCCGCTCAGGCTGGTCAAATCGTTGGCGTTGATCGTGCGACTTTGCAAAGACCTCAAGAGTCCCAGAGCTCCCGAGCTGCTGTTTCTAAACATGTCCTGCTCATCCGGCAGCAGCGTTATAGATAGATTGTTTGCCTGACTATTTGCTGTGCTATTTAAGGGCAGGCGCAGCAGGCTGCTGCGTCTGTGCTGGAACGAACTTTCCATTGGAAATTAAATTTTGTTTTTAATAATTTATGTAAAAATTCTAATAACTATCCGCACGCGACAAAAATGCCGGGACTCTGCTTTGCAATCTAGCTCAACACTGTATTCTGTGCGCCTTGCAACACTGGTTCTGTTTGGTATGCACCTCATATAATTTGCTTACACTGCTTGAAAGCAAATTAATGGATGAAATTATTTAAATAAATTATTTTATGGGGTTTCCAATGATATATTAAGACTTCGATTGGAATGTTTCTATAATTATCAACTCATATTATCGTACAAAGATTGTATGAAAAACCAACCGACAATATAATTTAACAAAATGTTCTTAAATTTATATTGGTTTTTTACCATACTATCAAAATTTTGAACAATTTATATTTTCCTAAGACATTTAATCTCAAAAGTCTAGTCGGAATAGCCACAAACACGTATTGTTATAAAAATGTTTGCCTTGTCATACGTTTATTGCGAACAGCATACGGGCCAGTGAAATAAAAATGAGTGTCATACATTGACATGCAACATTTAGTTGTCAACTAAATTGGAACGTGTCTGCGCCACAAAATAAAAGTAAGCCTCGTTTTTATTATTTTGTTGTTACAATAAAAGGACTTTTTTGTGTAATGTAATGCTTAAATTACACGCACTGGCAGTGCACCGCCGCTTGTTTGGCAAAAATACAGTGATAAATTGTATAAAATTATGGTGAGGCACAGGCCAAATTGTTAGACGCTAATTGTGTAAATAAATGTATTACAACTGTAAACCTGAATTTTACTGTAGTGCAGTTAAATAACCACATGTATAGTTTATATGACAAACAAAGAGTCTGTTAAATGGCATCTAGCTACAATTGTTAATACCCAAATTAAATCTATGAAAAACTAACTAAAAACAACACAACAGAAGGTAAGAACCGGAAATTGATTTTTACCCGCATACTTAAGCACATATTTATGTATGCATGTATACATACACATGCACATAAGTATATGCATACATAAATGTATATACATATGCATATACATATATCAGCATGTACTTGCATATGTATCTAAGATAAATACACTTTTCTAACAATTCAACTACTCGCTTAGTCAGTGCAGAGGCAGGGAAAAAAACGAACAAGTCGAGCATATAAATAGTATTTATGCAATTTGTGCACAAAATAGTTGAGTATCTTAACAAAAACATAAATATATAGAGTTCGTATGTTATATGTGTGCTAAAAGATTCGATATATATGATTATTTTCATTGACATTATAGAGTATAATAACCCTTAGCTAACTACCTAGCCCAGCCCGGGGCTTGAACCCGGCTGACTGGGTCGCTTAGACAAGTCAACAATTAAGGTAATATTTTAGTGGAAGCCAATAAACCACGATAGTATATGTTAGCTTTAGAGTTAGCGGAAAATACTGCGGAATTTCGCATTATTATAAAAACAGAGTATGGGTATTTCCAGCTGAAAGTCCAGCAGATCCATGATTAAGATTTAAATAAACTTTTTTCCCACTTATAATTTATAAAAAAAAAGTATACCAATTATCTTGTTTTTCTTATCGAAAAAGGCGTCGACATTTTAGATAATTTCCCGTTATTTTAAAATATAACCTCCAAATAATTAGGGATAAATCCCATTATATATAATAGGGTTTACTATAATCCCATATTTCCCACTAAAATGAATCCAGGGCAAAAATGGATTTATTTTTTGTTTTTCTTCGTAAATGCGCATTCTAATTTAATTAACATAAATAAGAAGGTCAGAGGCAGCACATGAATATGACGAATCTGAATTCTATTGAATTTACTTATTTTGAGCAGATATTCTCCCATTTATATATATATGTCGATTCGTTCAATGCAATCTTAGCGCATCAGAAGGGGATCAGATATCTTGGTAGCTTATTTTGTGCCCAAACATTCTTGCTCAATGCAATAATTGCTTTTCTTTGTTTCGTATTCAAGCCTTAACAACCGCAACGCTACACAATACGATGGCCGTGCAGTTGAAGAATGCGTATCATCATTTGCCGCTGACCATAACGCCGATACTCTGCCAGCCGCTGCTGACGCCGGCGCCGACGCCGCCGAAGCCGGAGCCGCCAGATTTGACGTTTCATTGCATGTGCTGTGCCGAGTATTTTGTGCATCCGCTCGCGCTCTACCAGCACATGAACAGCAAGCATCCAAATGAGGCAACGCCACAGCAACAGCAGCAACAGGAGCAGGCCGCGCAGCAGGCGGCTGAGGATGATAGCACCGACTACAGCTGGATATTCGAGCCGGTTTGCGAGCTGGAAGTGGCGGCCGATGCGGCACCGTTGCGCAGCGACGATGACAGCGACTCAAACAGCGATGACGAGGCGGAGGAGGGCAGCGACGCGGAAAGCGACAATGATAGCGACAGCAGCAGCAGCAGCAACAGCAGCAGCACCAGTTCCAGCAGCAGCAACAGCAGCAGTGGCGCCGGCGGCGGCGGCGTCAACAGCAACTCCAATACCCAGCAGAGCTTGGAGAACGGTGCCTACGTGGAGGTGACATCGACACATCCGATGCGTGGCCTTCTGCCCGGCAGTCAACCCAACGAATATCAGCTGCAGACCGCAGATCCACGTGAATCCACATCCATAATACTTTTGCAGCCGACGCTGAGCATAACGCCAGTGCCGGCGCTCGCCGTGGTACAGGCGCCGCTGCTGCAACCGACGCTCAGTCTGGAGCCGGCGACCATTAAGCGACGTCGTGGTCGGCGCAGCAAGGCGAACGTTAACAGCGAGGGCCAGGGAGCTGCGGCCGCGGCGGTGGCCCAGCTGGGCGCCAATGGACAAAAGTGCTTTCAGTGCACGCACTGCGAGGCCTCGTTTCCCAATGCCGGTGATCTTTCCAAGCATGTGCGCTCGCACATTTCGAATAAGCCGTTCCAGTGCTCCATTTGCCAGAAGACCTTTACGCACATCGGCAGCCTCAATACGCACATACGCATCCACAGCGGCGAGAAGCCGTACAAGTGCGAACTCTGCCCGAAGGCTTTCACCCAGTCGAGCAGCCTGATGGTGCACATGCGCTCGCATGCGGTGCGCAAGCCGCATCAGTGCCTGCAGTGCGACAAGGGCTTCATCAACTACAGCTCCCTGTTGCTGCACCAGAAGTCCCACTCGGCGCCCGTCGAGAGCTTTGTGTGTCCGGAGTGCGAGCGCGAGTTTAAGGCCGAGGCGCTGCTCGACGAGCATATGCGTATGCACACCCAGGAGCTGGTCTATCAGTGCGCCATTTGCCGGCAGGCATTCCGTGCCAGCTCAGAGCTGGTACAGCACATGAAATGCCATATGGGCGAGAAACCGTTCACCTGCTCCCTGTGCGATCGCTCGTTCACGCAATCGGGCAGCCTCAACATACACATGCGCATACACACGGGCGAGAAGCCCTTCCAGTGCAAGCTGTGCGACAAGTGCTTCACGCAGGCCTCCAGCCTGAGCGTGCACATGAAGATCCATGCCGGCGAGAAGCCCTTTCCCTGCCACATCTGCGGCAAGGCCTACAGCCAGCAGGCCTATCTCAACAAGCACATACAGGCGCATGCTATGGACGCGACACCAGCTCGCCAAGCGATGCCCGTGATGCCAGCGCCGAAGGAGACGCTGGTGTGCATTGTGTGCGGCGCTTTGCATGCGGATGCCACTGCTTTGGCGCTGCATGTGACGCGGGAGCATACGGCGCTGCTGGACAATATGAAGCAGGCCACGTTGCCGCCGGCGCCGCTTGCGGCGGGTAAATGCAGCGCCGTCGAACGCCAGGCACAGCAGCAGGCCTACATGCAGCGTGTGCAGTCGATGTTGCAGCAAATGAATCAGCAGCAACAGCAGCTGCCAGCCATGGACTCGGCCGGCGAGGACGAAGAAGAACTCGACGACGACGATGAGCTGGACGAAGATGATGAGCAGCTGGTCGAGGCAGCCGACCAAAACGAGGCGCAGCAAGTGGCTAACAACGATCACGATGACATCGATGATGATGATGATGAGGATGTCGATGATGATGATGATGATGATGACCAACAACTAATTACGGACGCGGATATGTATTATGATATGCCCGTTGATTTCGCAGACATGGAAGTGGGCTGCGAGGAGGAGGTGTGTGCTGATTTTATAGAGAACGACGATTACGCTGCCGAAGAAGAGGTCTACACCGAGGACATCTAAAAGCCGTTACATATATATTAAGAGTTATGCAGTTTCGCACAGGCATTTCACATCAGTTCCACACATTCGCACAGCATGGATCTAGATTTGTCTTGAAGTTTTCCGTATGGAATCGGTGGGAATGTCAAACGCGAAACACAAACTCAGTTTAAGATTTTAAGCATTGTTTTCTGGCCATAGTTCTTATTATTGCTTATGGTATTTAATCATTATTATTGTAAAACCCAAAACAACACACACAATTGTCAAGTGGCGCGCAGGGCTCTTATGTTTAAATGTTCTATAGACTTGTATGTTTAAGTTTAACCCTACTAAAAATAGTGCTTGCATTCTTGCAACAGCTTCAACTTCCACCGGCTGCTGAACCATATCGCATATCATCTCACAATATCTGTAAGCTAATCTCAGTTAGAGCTCTGCGTCGTTCTTGCCAATTCGAATGCACCACTTTAAATGGTATTAAACTTTAGTATTAAGCTACCTACTGTATGCTGCTCATTTACCGAATGCCCCACAACGAATTGTGGGTCATACTTTCCCGAAATGAATTCCCCTATATTACGAGAGCGCACTTTATTGTGCGGATCCTGAAGAGATTACATTAATCGTTAACAACAATCAAAACTGTGTTCATTATTTGGTTATAAGCGAGTAAGCAATAGAGGGATGGGAAACGCAAGAGCTGATAAATAATGTATAATACATATGAACACTAATCCAAAGTCGAGTCGATATTTGGCTGTCAAAGAAGCTACCTGCCTAAACCTCGGCTAAGGCTAAGATCGCACATCGGGCAATTATGTTAAGTTCTGTTGGAAAAGATATCTTGATCAAACTAAGCACATCTGTTTTCTATATTATCGTAACATACCAGCAAAACCGTATCAAATCCAACTACTAAATTATATGAGTCCGAGGAACATAACTTCCGATTTTGCTAAAAATCAATTTTATTGATTTTTATGCAAATTATGTTTTCTTTTTCATAAATTCCTTTATAGTCGTGTAAAGGTCAGCGGGGTTATCGCTTGCTGATTCGTTTCGTTGGTGTCCGTTTCGGCGATGCCAAACATGCCGGCCAGCAGGCAGCCGGAGGCCATGTTGTCGTCCGGCTCAAGTCTTTCTGGTGGTGTTATCAGCACATTGTCGCCCTGATAGACGTAGGGCAAGCGCAGTATCCAGTAGGCGCTCTGCGAAAGTCGCGGCAACGTGGGGCAGCCCAAGGTGAAGGTGTATTTGCCCACGCACATCTTGGGATCGAGAATTATGTTGACTGGCGCCTTGGGTGTGACCACATGAATGCGCATAAGCTGCGCCAGATATGTGGGCTGTGCGCGACACGGGCAGGGGAAATACAGGGGCATATTGTTGTTCACCACTTTGCTGCTGGTGTCGCGTTCAATGTCCGCACCGCCGCGCAGCACACGATCCGGACTGCACATCATGAAGCGATGGCCACGCGAGCACTCGTACTCGAAGCCAACGAAGATCTTGAGCGCTAGGCGATCGCCGTGCTTGCGATAGCGTTGACTCTTCTTGCCCATCGACTGCTGTTGCTGCTGCGGATGCTTGTGCGGTTGAACGAGGCGGACGTGCACGTCCCAGGGCAGCAGAAAGTTGGCGCCGGACAGAAACCCGCTTTGGAAATGCTCTTGCAGTCCGGTATTGTGACTATAAATGGAACTGGGCCCGACACAGGCGAGCGACCAGCTCGGAAACAGCGGCAGTAACTCGCAGCCGCTGCTCATGTGCACCAAGCCGGGCAGATATTCCGTGGTAGAGACCTGCTCTGTCGACGCTACAATCGGCAGCGCCTCCGGACAGATCTCGCTGACTGCGGCATTGGCCGCATTCTGATCGGTGCGCTCCTTGAGCTGCAGCACTAGCTCGTTGGCTGTGTTGGCACTGGAGGTGCCGCTGCTGGTGCTGTTGCTGCGGCTGCTCAAGCCACTGCTGGCAATTTGCGAGCTGATCTCCGGTGATCGCACCTCCTCGCCCTCATTCAGCGAGGCGCCAAAACCCGCTATCGACATGTTTAAATCGGAGCCATAGGTAGCCGACAATGCCGGCTGCGAGCAGCCATTGCTTAGGGTTATCTGCGGCTTCTGTGGTGCCTGTTCCGTTGCGTTAATCGGCTGGGAGTAGAGCTCACCGGCGGCCTCCAGATCGCTGTCGCCTCCTGTCGCGATCTCCGTGCGGTTCTTAGCCGCCTGCAACAGCAGGGGAAAAGCAGCCTCAAAAGCGGCCGCTCGATAATCACTTATTGAAGGCGTAAATACGGGCAACTGAAACTTTTTAACCTTGACGCACAAATTACACATGGCAGCCATATGCTCGTAGTAATCGTAATTGGCCTGCCGCAGTGTGAACGGGTCCTCTCTCCTGCCCTGCGTGCGCCCACAATTACAGCTGGAGATGTGCACAATGCCGCTGCTATGCTTATCGTGCGGCGCATCCTTTGGCTGTGTACAGGGATTGCCACGCAGGCTGAGCTGTTCGCACTGCTGCCTGCCGTCGTGCCAGTGCCTCAAGCAAATTTCACTGAGCTTGGCCAACGCCAGTTCCGCATATGGACCGCGTCCTTCCTCCTCAAAGGCCAGTATAGCATCCGCCAGCAGCTGCCTGTGCGTGACGCTGCCGTAAATGGCGGGCGCGGAACTTTTATAGGCGGATATGCCCTTCTTTAAGCCCAGGTCGCACAGATGGCCCCAGAATCTGTTAAAATAAACGATTACTTGGGATAAATACACAAATGGATTGTTTCACTTACTTTTTCTCATAGTTGAGGCTTTCGTTAAAGTCCCGCAGATAGGCTTTCTATGGAGGATTTCAGTTAATAGACAAAGATAAGATTTGTGATAGCTATTTACATAATTTTGATTATTTGTTACGTAGCTGACTTCCTGGATATTCCCGATGAGCAGCCTGTGTATAGTATCCATGCAAATGTGCCAATCATTAACTCCCAGCAACTGGAACTGTGCCGACTGTGGCAGCTGCTTGAAGGAGCCCTCATCAAAGCAGCCTTGCAGTGCATCCTGCACATGACGCTGCAAGAAGTGCCAAACGGTGTGCTTCTTTCTGTAGAGCTGCTCGTCCGACTCACGCGCCTCGTAGCCCGCGCCATAGGGCTTGACAAAGCCCTCGAACGGTGCAAGCTCTAAAATTTCGGTGTCCTCCTCCTCCTCTTTGGAGTCCGACTTGTACATGGTCGCGTTAAGAGCCTCAATGGCAAGCAGCAGCTGATCCGGACGCAGCTTCTCGTGGGCATTGTAGAACACAAACTGCTTGTTGTTGGGCAGCGCGAACAGGGAATTGTTGGCATTGTTAGTTACAATGTTGTACTGGCGCAGCAGCTCGTATATCTTGTCCTCCGTTTGGAATTCATAGGCGGAAATGCGTTCCCGTGACTTCTCCTCATCCTGGGGATAGTTCTCGAAGAGAAACAGAACGCGTGGCGTGCAGAGTCGCGCCCTATCGCTGAGCAAGCTGCCGGCAGCTGTTTCACGCAGCATTTGTGGCAAAAAGTCCAGCACATGTTTCTCTCGCACATACTTCAGCAGCTGGCAAATTGTCACCAGTGTCGTGTCGAAGGTCTGTGCAGTTTCTACGTAAACTAAAATGTGACACACGTGCAGCGCCAGCAGCAGCATGCGCAGAAACCGACTCCGCATCTGCTCGTAGAAGCTGTCAAAGTCAACGGAAGTTTGCTTCAGCAGCTGCTGGCCCAGCACCGCCTCATCGTGGGTGGTCTCAAAGTGCAGCAGCAGCATGTTGGTGCCGGGCTTATAATAACATAGAATCTGTCCGTCCGCCGGCTCGTGCGTCTTGTCGGGCTGCATGCCAAAGGCGCTCATTTTGTTGGCCTGCGCACACTTCGAGCGCCCAATTATGCCGACAATCACCAGCGAGTTCTGTAGCTCCAATAGCAAAGGCCTGTCGTGGTACACGTGTTGGCGATTATCTAATTCTGTAGTTTTTCACCCACTTACGCTACATGCTCGGGTATGTCCGGATACTTCCATGTGTAATAATTTTTGTAGCTCATGTTTCGCGTGCGGCCAAAATAACGACAAGGCAAACATAAACAAGACGAGATGGCAAAAAGATATCGATATATACCACACTTCTCTGCTCGAAATGCATTACCGATAGCTATCGCATAAAGTGTATCGATTAAAATGTATTACAGCAAGCGCCAAGAGCTATCGTTTTTTAAATCTTTAAGGCTAAGCTCGTTAATTAAACAATTAGATTGTTTTGTTTGTCTAAAGCATTACCTATAGCTATCGCATAAAGTGTATCGATTAAAATGTATTACAGCAAGCGCCAAGAGCTATCGTTTTTTAAATCTTTAAGGCTAAGCTCGTTAATTAAACAATTAGATTGTTTTGTTTGTCTAAAGCATTACCTATAGCTATCGCATAAAGTGTATCGATTAAAATGTATTACAGCAAGCGCCAAGAGCTATCGTTTTTTAAATCTTTAAGGCTAAGCTCGTTAATTAATCAATTAGATTGTTTTGTTTGTCTAAAGCATTACCTATAGCTATCGCATAAAGTGTATCGATTAAAATGTATTACAGCAAGCGCCAAGAGCTATCGCTTTTTAAATCTTTAAGGCTAAGCTCGTTAATTAAACAATTCGATTGTTTTGTTTGTCTAAAGCAATTAAATTTTATTAAATACTTTAAGCATACCTTACAGCTTTCCGTATTTTCCGTATGCCATAGCGTGTGTGTATTTTTGTTTGCTTTCCATATTTTTGCATCAATTGTCAATGTTAAACGAGAGTAAAGTGCATGATTAAGTATAATGTATAAATGTTTAAATTTGGAGCTATATAATGCTGAATTAAGTATGCGTGTTTGGCTAAATGAGCACCTAAAATGATTTATGTGTTTTTAATATTATTATATTTATGCAAAGAGCATGTTTAGAGAGTTTACTTATGCTATGCGTGGGCATAATTAATAGAGCATACAATATAGTATCATAGAAGAGTGCATTATCCGCTAATTTCAAGAGCTATCAAAGTGCTTAAAATGGTGTTTTAAAATGTATGTTGCTTTTGCTTTTGCCATGTTGAGCACATTTAAAATACTTGTATGTTAGATTTCAATTGCTAGTAAGTACTAATAACTACTACAAAGAATGTCGTGGAGTGAAGATCTCGAATGCTTCATCAAGGTATTTACAAATAATTTGATTGGAAGTTTTTCAAAATTCATTTTATGCTTTATGTTGAGTTTAATGGGAGTATTGTGTTGAGTTTCTTTGACATTTTATTTACATTGTGAAAATTAAAGATTATGAAATTCTTTGTGCTTCAAATATTGTGTATGTATTGCAACTGTCGGCTCACTGGAACATCTAAAGAAGTTCCTTTAATACAATTAAAAACAAATAAAAATAAAAACTAATGCTATTTTTTTGCCCGGCTTTTATATTTTATCTTGCACAATTTCTTGTTTATTTTTTTACTTTTGCTTTCGGTTAATTTTAGTTTTTAGCGGCTTTTTTTTCGCATCATTCCTACTCCACGTTTTGGCAGTGAACCTGAGCTTACATCTTTGTTTACGTGTTCGATTTACTTTACACAAACATTTCCATTAAATATCGTCTTGTACACAATTTTATTCAAATCATTTTCGGGTAGCTACAATATTCAAGCACATGACAATAACATATATTACGATAGAAAATTGTTTAATGATTTGTTAAAAAAACAAATACAATTAAGCAGACGTAGGCAAAAAACAAAATCATTTGCAACAACCAGAGTGTTTACTGTAGTTTTTTTTTTTGAACTTTGTTTTACTAGTTTTTACTACACACGCTTTCCGAAAAAACTCATTTTGCATTACAAATAAACAATTTCGTATTAGTTTCAGGCCATTTACTATACACATATGTATAATGTACATACATATATTTATATATATATATATTTGTTAATTTATGAAATATCATCACAAAATTGATGAAGTCATGATTTAAATTTGTATTCTTATGGCTAACGATGCATTTTATCGGTGTGTTCTTTAAATTAAGACTAAACTTTGCAAATACAGATTTCAAACAAGCAAAAGTCCTAAATGAAAAAATTCTGAATAAAAAAAAAATGATATTTCGGTTTTATTCTTTGTTCTTGTGTGGATCTTAAAGCAGCTAAACTTAAAAGTAAATTGTATTTCGCTTGCATATTATATGTTAGTATATATATGTATTACATTATGTTTAATGATTTCTTTTCTTATTATTTTTTTTTATTTTTTTTTTATTATATTTTGTATTTATTGAAGAGCCGGCGATTTACAGCGTTTTTGCGCGATCCAATAAATCGCCAATGAACTTCGATATGTCCGATTGCGGGCGTTTGCAGACTGACAATAATCTCTGCATGAGACGAGAATTTATTTAATTTATTTATCTGCAAATATTGATTAATAAAAGGAATACTTACAATAAGATGAGATCTTCTTATGTCGTCTGTGTCCATGTCTAAGATTTCATCGATATCCACATCGATCGCCTCGCTCTGCAATACCCCAAAAGCAATTTATATAAGAAACTCGACTCGAGTCAGTTGGGAGCTGTCATCTTACCGGCGGATCAAAGAGCTTCTGCAGCTCATCGTATAGCCACATTTCGACGGCCAGACGCTTCCTGATCAGGCTCATCTGATGTGAGCCATATTTGGCGGTGAGGAACTTTTCCCGTCGCTCCTTGACCTCGGCGCCCTTCTCATTGAAGTTGACCCGCAGATTTGTTCGGTTCGGCGAGCGTTCGCAATCGTTCATCTGCTCCAGGCCGCACTGCATCTTCCAAGAGCTGTATGCACTGCTAGTCGTTGTCCGCGAATCAGTTGTTTTTTTATTATTTATTAATTAACACTTTTGCGTTGATTGAACTCGCAATTAATTGGCGTGGCTGCAATTGAAAGCGAACAGAAATTGATCTTTGAAATGCACTGCAAACAAATTTTGTATAAATGTTTTAACTGATGAATTAATTATAATATTATGCAATTGCAGCCGGGCGCTGCTTTCCTCATGCGTCATATACCAGAGGCACGTTCGATCTGCTTGGCCCATACCCATACGCATTCCAGTTATTAATGCCCGTTTTGGCCCAAAGGCATTTTCAAATTCCCGATGACTCACCCACAGCTTGCCACAGGCAGAGAAAGAGACAGAGAGAGGGAGAGAGGGAGCTACTCCTCTGCCTTGGCCCGGCTCTGTCTCTGTGCCCATAAAGTCAGACTCTGATTCATGCTCTTTTTTATTGTTTGGCTGTTGCTGGACTTGTTCTGGCTTTATCTATGGCCAAGATTTGACATGCCAACAAAGCGAAAAGGAATAATTGCCTGTCCACGTTTCACAGTTAATTTAATTAATGTGTAATGCATGTAATGAAAGCTCCACCGATTCGGCTGACATTTGACCTTTTTGTGAGCAGGAACATGCCTCCGCTGGACAACTGTCGACTGATAGTTGCAAAGTTTCAATTGTTGCCTTGATGAAGATAAATGAGAGCACTTGGAAAACTTATCCACATCGGAAAGTGTTTTCAATTGAAAATTACAAGCTGCTGCGAAACTTAAACAAATCAAATAAAGAATTAAGCTAACTAGAAACTTGGGTGAAATATACAGAAATCTAACACCAGAACCACATATTAAAATAAGAAAGTATTCTTTAAAAATGTTGACATACTATTTTTGACTTGGTTTAGTAGGTACATGGACTTTTTCCTAGTGGTTTTCATTGCTATTCAAGAGCTTCTGTTTATTAAATTGTTTATTCTATTCACAAGTTCTAAGACGAGTTCAATAAATTCTTACTTTAAACTAAATTTTCTGAGAACGTTGATGAGTTGGTTTAAAACAAAATTATAAATATCCACGATGGCATTATAGGCAGACAATTCGAGTTGTTGGCAGATCGCGGTTAGGGATTATAATCCTCCATTTCAAGGAGGAACCGCTTTGTTTAAAAAAAAAAAAAAAGATCAGCCAGTGTATTTTTTACAAGCCGAACTATAAATATAATTGTAAAGCTAAATTTTAAGAAAATATTCAACAATTCTGGTCCAGGTTTACGAACCGAACGAGCTAGAGACTATTTCCCTTGGTTTTGTGGACCTGATTTTATTATAATTTAAATAAAACAAATTCTTAATAGTTAATTAAGTTAAATAGTTGGTAGTTCTGCAATTGCAATAATCTATTAGATTCGCAATTCTATTCCCGTATTCCCAATTCCCGTATTTCCTGTTAAGGCCGAATTCCATGAAGAAATCAAATTTGTTTTTAGAAACAAATATTATTCTTCAGCTGTGCAAACAAACATTGATTGGGAAAATGTTTACAAAATTGAAACTAGATTTCGTAGGTATAAGGTATATGATTTGCACTTAATTCTTTATTTGCGTTTAAGTAGAAAAGTTTTTCCCGTTTGCTTGTTGTGTGTGAATCATTCAGTAAAAGAAATACTAATAAACAAAGTATAAGTACATGAACCATATCTTCAGAGGGAAGTACCAAGTATTTAGCCATAAGATTTATTCACGGCCTTTCCGAGAAAGAAGTGCCTATAGAATTTTATGGTAATACTTTGTAATATCTAAGGTGATGTGAATATAAATAAATAGGATAGATATGCCTTAGAGCTAGAGTCTGAAGAATGTGCATCAGTTGGTATATATGAAGATCATGATGGATGAGCCTGTTAATTTTGGAGAAGAAGTATTGCGACTAGGCTAAGGGTTCTCAGTACTCCCGACTTTTCCAATAATATTTGTTTATTCTTATGGTAAATGCCAATTTTAATTTCTAATTGGGCGGACATGGAAATTGGTCAGTTCTAGTTAATTGATTTGTAGTGCATTTGAAATGCAATTAGATTTCCAAATTGGCCACGGTATTGGTAGGGGTTAGGCTGATAGGGGGCGGGGCGGGGAGGGACTCTCTAATTTGAGGCTAGTCACATTTCCTTTCACAACGAATTAGCCAATAGGCAGGAGAACGAAAGCACGGGCTAAATTGAATCAAAACAGTTGTTGGCAAAGAAGGCAGGTGGAGCACACAGGTGAAACTATGCATGTGCCCCATCCCGGAAGTTTCCGCAACGTTGCACAGGTGAGGCAAGGTAAGGGGGTGGGGTGGGAAAACTGCGGCGTCTGTCGACAGTTACAATGTTGTTACAATTTTTTTTTGTTCATAGTTACCCAGCAATTGTAGTGTGCATGCAACGTGTTGCATGTTTTGCTGTTGCTGTTGCTGCTGCTTCTTCTTCTAGCGGCCATTGCAACATCATATTTATGCAAAGCTCTTGTTGCCGTTGTTGCTGCCACAACGTTAGATGTGGCAAGCAATAATAATAATAATAAAGCTAGTTGCCATGTACTTTAAAACTACGCCAAGCTAAAGTCAACGGTCAAATGTTTTTCTTTTATCTTTGAAAAATCCGCAGTTAAGTTTTTCCTATGCAAAACAATTTCTCACATTCCACAATTAGGGCTAAAGCTAAGCGACGCGTTTTAAGCAACGAGCGGCACGAACAGCGCATAAATCAGCGCAGCGCCTGAGAACTGAATAAACGCCTGCTAAATGCTATCATATCATGTCGAGCGGTCATCGTAATACACATAACATGCATTACACACTGGGCCAACGGAACCGCACAATTAGGCCTGATCTCAGGCAATTTCCGGTACACAAGAAATATTTAAGCACAAGCAAACAACCGAAAAAAAGAAAAAAGCCCAAAACAAGCAAAATTTACCCCCCTTCAAATGTCTCGTGTTACCTGCTGTGGCACCCGTTCTGCTCTCTCTCGCTCTCTCTCCCACCATCCCTCTTTCCTACCCCCTTCCTCACTCCACTCTCTCGCTCTCTTTGCTTTGCTTTGCTTTGACATGTTTCATAATTGCTTATGACTCTTAAGTAAATCTCGTATCAGATTTCGCCAGACAAGCACACACACACACACACACACGCACACACCTAGCAAACAGCCCAATTGAATGGTGTGAAAAAGATAGCAATAGCTGAGAAGTGTGCACATAACTCAGCAAAAACTCAACAGCATTGTTATTTATAGTTAATGGTCGGTGGAATATTATTTTTGTTTTATTTCTATTTTCTTTACATGCGGAAATCTTTGCCTTTCTGTTGCCACACACTCACACACATGCACACACAGCCTGCCAGTGTGTACGCTTGGCCTAAAATGCAGTGTGGCCAACAGTCAAAACTATTTCAATTCAATTTGCGGCAAAATTGAATATCTTTTTTTTTTTTTTTGTAGCTTTGTTTGGCATGTTGTGCGTGGGCTCAGTTGGGCGTATCTTGGGCTCAGAATTGGTGCCAGGCTCGTGTTGTCCCTGTTGCCATTGACATTTTTGCTGTTTTTTTTTGGGCCACGAAATTCGGTTGTATAGAGACATATGCAGTCGTTAGAAATGTCAGCGACAAAAATAAAGATTTTTCGCCTGAAATATGTTATAAATAAAAATAGCGAAATTGAGCACATTTTTCGTTTATTGCCGTGACAGCAAGAGAGAGATTAAATGGCATTAGCAGAGCTTAAAGCGGAATTGGCTAAACAGCACACGATTTTATTTATAGGGTTTTAATCGTAAATAGAAAAATTGGAAAATTGAAAATTAAAAAAGTGTAAAAATGTTTATATTGGCTAAATTTAAGAGCATACGTTTTTTTTGGAATTTTTCCCAACACTTGTTGAAAACATATTCCAGCGTTGACAAAATTGGGAGCTCTTCTGACTTATCATTTCTTTTCTATATTTATATTAAACATTTGCCGATATTCAAATAGATAAACAAATGTTGTTTTCCCATTGTTATCATGATCATAAAAATGTAATCAGCCGCAATCCTAAAATGATATCAGCTAAACACATTTAAGAAATCCCATAGAAACAAGAAACTACGAGAAATTTTTGAAATAATTTTCGTTTCCTTTAAATAAATATCTTTTACGAAAGGAGCCTTAAACTAAAGCTATGTTCAGGCATCAACAATTTTCAAATATTCCCATCAGCTTACGTAAAAAAAAAGTAGAATGTCATCAAAGATAAGAGCAACATAATAGCAAGAGTTCATATATACTACCCCAACAGGGATTAAAATTCAGCAATCATATAATTCATAATGTTTCAGTTACCCTAAGAAGAATATAATACCCTTAATATTCAATCAGTTGAGGCTAATCAAATTTTGTTATACTTTGTCAAACCGAAACACGAGCCAATTAACAAAACGCATATTTGATGAGCCATCATATTTACGAGAACAAAAACTCGAAAATAAAAAGCAGAGCAGCATTCAAAAATAAAGAAGAAGAGCAGATGCCAAAAAAGGAACGAATGGGTAACGACAGCTTCCATCTAATTGATTTTTAAGCATCGTCCAATCTGAACGCCAGCGGGCGCCCTGTCATCTTTTATGGCACACTCATAGCGCCCCCCCTGCCACCTTGTTGTCCATTTATGGCAAACATGCAAATCACATGCCACAAATTCGAGAAGTGGCGCAATTGCCGTTAAGACCTTTTACGACTTCGTTGTGGCCACTTTTGATATATATATATATACACATATATATATACATAGGTGCACAAATCGCGATTTATCGACAAGGCCTGGCGCAAAAAGTCTATGCTAATTTCAAGGAAATTACCACAAACGCTTAATTATAGATTAATAGCTGTGTCCATTTATGGTGTTATGGTACACAAACCAAAAAGAGTTCATTAAGGAAGAGCCTTTAATGATAAAATGACTGACTTTAAGATATCCTGTATGAATTCTGTTCTTCTGGATTTGGACTATTCGAGAATCTAACTTAAACTTTTGCTAAGAAGATTTGCCTAAAAAATCAAGATTTAGATATTGACTTTTAACGAT